CTGGATTCTCACTTTGACCCTCCAAAGCATAAGGAAGTTGGACCACAGGATCACCCAGACTATTTCTAAGTCTAACATGATTCTATAACTTCTGTGATTGTAAGTGCTACATCGAGGTTAATAAGTACCAAGGGAAAGCGGAAAAAAGGGAAACCTAATTCTACCTGGAAGAGTTGGCGAAGCCTGCATAGAGAAAATGCCACTTGAATTGGGTCATAAAGGATGGGTCACACTTGGTGAGGGAAGAAATGGAGGCAATGGAATTATAGGAAGAGGGCAAAGTAAGAACAAAGGAAAGTGTAAGGCTCACTCAGGAAATACCCAGTAATGTTGTGTGGTTGGAACATTGGGATTCATGATGTTTAAGTGGGGAAACATGAGGTGGAAAAGGTAGACTTGTGTCAGATCATGAAGAAGCTTGAATGTCATGCTGAGTTGTTTGGATTTTATTCTGTAAGCAATTCACATTGGAAGGTGACAAGGGAATCATTCAAAAAGAATTGTGGCAATTGTTCAGGTATAAAATTAGAAGGGACTGAACAAAAACTGTAGGTCTAATAATGGAAAAGAAAGGACAGAAGTCTTTTGGCATTTTTTCATGTACTTCTTTTTGTGCATTGTTGACTAAGTTTTACTTGGTTATTTTTGGAGGGCAGGGTCCATTTATTAATTCATTCTACAAGTATTTATTGAGCACTTACTCCATACAAGACTGGAAATAGAGTGGTAAATGAGAGAGTCAAGTTCCCTATATGTTAGGACTCTTTGCGTTGAAAGTACCAGAAAATGATGATACCACCGGAAGTGGGAAGATTAGGGACAGGTTGGTAGGGGGAACAAAGAGTTTGATCTTTGACATAGTAAGTTTTGAATGCCTATATCAGTGAAAATGTCAAGTGGGCATTTGGATAAGATATCTTGAGCTTATTTGCATTCCATCTCACAGTTCCTCTCCATTATCATTTATTTTACTTATTTAAGGTTTGCTGTTTGCTTTTTGAAAACCCAATGAATTACTAGACTCTTCATGGATAATAGTATATTATATTAATCAATATATATTATATTGAATAGGTCGACATGAGGAATCAATACATACAAACTGATTTCTTTCTTCTTTTTTTTAAAGATGACCAGTATGGGGATCCTAACCCTTGACTTGGTGTTGCCAGCACCATGCTCTCCCAAGTGAGCTAACCAGCCATCCCTACACCAGGATCCAAACCCATGGCCTTGGTGCTATCAGCACCACACTCTCCCAAGTGAGCCACGGGCCGGCCCTCAAACTGATTTCTTAACAAACATATATTTTCTCTTAAAACAGAAGTGAATTACCTGTCAAAAATTCATTATAATCCTATTCATGAGAATCCTCTTTATTTTTAGTAATTTCTTAAAAATTAAGCAACCAATAAAAGTGCAATAGAATCTATATTAAACCTTATAAAGAATATTATGAAATTTTGAGAAACCTTAAGATTAGAATCTCAACCATTATTCCTGTTTATATTGAAACTCAACAGTTACTTTTACTAAAATTAAAATCTCAGCAGTAATTTTTGTAGAAAATATAATATCAACATCGATTTTTGTAGATACTGACAAGAACAGTTAAGAAACTCTTGGTGAACAAAAATGAGGTGGGAAGACTTTCCCTACCAGATATCAAGACTTATTTCAAAGCTACAGTAATAAGGCAATGTTGTATTGGCACAAGGTTAGACAAATAGACCAGTGGAATGGAACACACAGGCCAGAAATAATTCCAAGAATATATGAACACTTGATATTTGATATAGTTGGTATTTTAAATGAGTGGGAGAAGGAAAGACTTTTCAACAAATGATATTGGGGAGATTGAATATTTATAAAGAAAAAAATGAAATTGGACTTCTCACACTTTACATAAAAATTAATTCTAAGTGTAATAAAGACCTCAATGTGGAAGGTAAAGGTATAAAAAGTTTAAATGTTGATATAGGGGAATATTTTCATGAAGTTGGGGTATAGAAGGATTTCTTTGAAAAGACACAAAAAGCACTTACCATAAAGAAAAAGAATAGATAACATTGACTACATTATAATCAGAACTTCTGTCTATCAAAAGAAACCACCAAGAAAATGAAAAAAAAAAAAAAGATATGTGACGAAGTGGGAAAAGACATATGCAACATATGTAAAAAGGTTAAAGGACTAAAGTTAGAATGAATAACTCCTACAAGCTAATTTGAAAAAGTCACATAACTCAATGGGAAAAAATTGGCAGATGTCTTAAATAAGTGCTGCACAAAGGAGGAAATCCTAATGTCTGATAGGCATATGAAAAGATGCTCAGTGTTATTAGTAATCAGGAAAATCAAATTATGAGATGCCATTTCACACCCACTAAATAGGCAATAGTCTGATAATACCAGTGTTGGCCAGCAGGTGGAACAATGGGAACTGTTAAACATAGCCAGTTAGGGTGTAAATAGGTAAGCCTTTAGACAAAGTTAGTCATCATCTAGTTAAGTTGAAGGTGTTCATACTCCATAAACCAGTAATTTCATTCTCAGGTAAATACCCTAGAGACATCTGAGTTTATGTACAATGCCAAGAATATTCATGGTAGCACTATTTTGTTACAGTCAAGAACTGGAAACAACCAGAATGCTCCTCAAAGTTATCCTGGATAAATTGTGGTATATTCATAAAATGTATACTGTACGACAATAAAAATGAACCATTTACAACTAACTGAAACAACATGGATGTATCTCACAATGTGGAGTGAAAGAGGATAGTCACGATTCCAAGTTTATAAAGCATATAAAGTTCAAATATCTATAAAACAAAACTGTTATTTAGGAATGCTTACAAGAAAGATAAATCCATAAACAAAAGCAAAGAAATGATTATCCTAATAGTCAGGATAGGGGTTAACTTTAGGATGAAGGGAGGAATGTCATCAGTGGGGCAGAGGCCTGGGGGGTGTGGTTATTAAGGTGTTCTATTTCTGGTCCTGGGTGGTTACTACATGAGTGATAGCTTTATAAATATTCTTTTAACTGGCAGCTCTCTTCTCTTCTGTTTTCTTAATGAAATAGAAAGCAAGGTGACTAGTTGGAAATGATGGAGGAGGAGGTGTTACAAGATTTGAGGAAAAAAGGAGGTAAGAAACAGAGCCAGAGAGTGAATAGAGTAGGGAAATATAGTATTTTTATCATATTCTTTTATGAAACTTTTTCACTTTTTTCTGATTTATTATGCTATTTCTCTCATATTACTCATATAACATTATTTTATCAACTTTAATATACTCTACTATTTGTAGTTATTCCAAATATTTACTTACACTATAATGTTAACTAATGTTTAAAAATAAAATTTTAAAGCAAAATTACACATTAATGAATTACATAATTATAATCGAAATGATACATTAGTTATTTATTTCACCTTGGGCTTTAGAAAAGCTGATATAGCTTATATTTAGAAAAAATATACAGAGTTCATACAGGGTTTGTATGATGGCTTTTTATTCTTTTTCTCTCAACTTTTTATACCAAGAACTTTAGTGTTAAATTCTTCATTTTATATCTTTAAACAGAGATGAGTATTTATTACTTCCTTGTTTTACTGATCTCTAGTCCTAAAAGTCATTTTGTAAATATCAGAAAATATAACCACATTTGCATCACAAAACTAAATATTAATATTGACATTTCAAATTACTACAAAACTATTACTCTCTTAAACTTTACTCAGAAGATTCAAATGGAGAAAGCTGATAGGTCTCTATAATTTTACAATATTGCCTAGGTTTTTATATGAACCAATTTGTAAAAATCAATTATTTAAATTTAAAACATGTTATAGTTGTAAATCCATGTTTATATTACAGTTCCATACCTTCAAATTTCAGCATATATATAACATATAAAATGTAAATTTAAAGATTTTATGACGAAAAATATAGTAAATTTAAACAACTACCAACAACTTAGCTTCAAATTATGCCATGTGAGTTTTCATTTTATAATATTCTGTAATAACTAAGCCATTGTGATAGGGAAAAAACACATGTACTTTTTAACATAATTTGAATCTACAAATACTGAATCAAGAAATATTGAAAATTGATGTATCCAACTCTTAGTTTGGGAGAAATATCTTGTGCATGTATAAACAGGAAATGCATATTCAAATAATAAAGCAAATGGGATAAAATGTTAATAATAGATGAATTTTGTTAAAGGGTATATGGGTGTTCTTTATGCCTTATTTATGCTTGTAATGCTTCTATAAGTTTGAAATTAATTCTAGATAATTATCAAGTTAAAATAAAAAAAGGTACATGGACTGACAATGACGTAAGTGGAAATCGACAGTGCACTCAGGAGATAAATCCATCTCTTGCATAAAAAAGTGGGGGAGTAGTGGTAGTTTATCCCTTCTTTTCAGCTTAAAAACCAAAGTCATAAGCTAGTTATGAATTTTTGTAAACAATATTTTCTTCCTTTTGAGGGTTAGCCTTTAAATATAACTAGCTGCTGTTCTGTTTTTGCTTTCCTTGCGCAGACTCTATGTTCTACTTCCTTGAATCCACAAGTAGAGGACTGCCCTCCTCCCCCATCCAGATCTGCAGATGTGGAAACTCCTCCGCAGCTCCTCTGGACCAGCCATTTTCTGTTGACTTCGGTGGCAAATGCTATCTGATATCATATAGCCAACAACTTTGTCTTTAATTTCTCTGGCATTCAATGAGGAATTCTCACTGCTAGATCTACAATCAGGTGTTTATAAGGGACAAATTTGGTTCAGTAGGGAGGTGCAAGTGGAGGGCATTATCATGATATCATCTATAAGGGGAAAACTGCAACACACGTCATCTTGGAAAGCCTCAAAATTTCAAAGTTGAAAAGAATGGGAGAGTTATACAATGTGATCCTCTTTGTGAAATTTCAGTTCGTAAAGTGGTGCTAATAGCAAACATGCCATCAATAACAATTCAACAAATATTCCAGTTGAAAGTAATTTTTATTACAATTATTATTATTATCATCAGCATCAGTATTATTGGCACAAAACTAAATCCATTATTAAAAGAAAAAAAAAAAACACCCCAAAGGCACGTGTCTTACTGACACTGAGTCAATAACATTATCTTCATGTACAAGGGACAGCACCCTGAGCATATAGACCATATCACAGCTTGATAATCAATTCAATAATTCAGACAACATTATTGAGCACCTAGGCACAAAGGAGGATTTAAAAATGAGTACAAGAATCCCTGCTTTCAAGAAGTTTTACAGTCTAGTAGGAGGTATTGAAGAACACCAAGAACACAGGGCCATATGAGACCAGTGACATAATGAAATCAGTACCATGTATGAAGTACTGTTGGAAAGGGGCATCACAAGAGACTAATGTCACTTTCAGTTGTGGGAAATCAGAAGAGGCTCCATAGAGAATGTGGCATCTGAGATGGGCTTTGAGGAACTGAAGGATTTTGGCAGTCGGGCATGTGAAGAAGGAGCACTGCAGGTGGAGAGAATAGAGTGGGCCAAAGTATGGCCACGGGAAAGTCCATGGCATGTTTGGGGAGAGAACAGTAGTCCATTCTAGTTGGTGTATGGGATCTATGTAAGTGGGAGTGGTGTGACATAATATGTTGAAAATTATATGAGAATCATATTTTGAATGGGTCTGAATGACAGGCTAATATTTCTGATCTTACTATATTTACCCACATCAACAAAATATGCAATTATTTGTGAAGAAATATGGTCATTTCACTTCTAGATTTTTTAAGAAAAATCAAGTTGTTTCCTTCAATGTCTTTATTCTTTGCATCCAGAAACCACACTTCTCACTCCCATCTCCAATCCTACCAGTTCTTGTGGCACCTGATGAGTTGAGGCAAGTATTACTTAGGATTTCCAGCCACAGTTGCTGCCCCAAAACTAGGACCCACAGCCTTGAGAAATGCAAGTGGTGGTGGTAGAGGCAGTGAACAATGTCATGAAAATGTAACCATCTGAGGTGTGTGGAATCCTCATCCTAGGAGTCAAGCATAGTTCCTCGAAATTGGAGTTCTACTCAGTTTGGTCTGCAGAACACCTGGAAGGGTCCCAGAACTCACAGTGGCTGAGAAAGATCACCATTTTAAGTTTCCTCTTATTGTCAAGGAATTCCTTAAAGGAATGACATTTCATCTGGGTTACAAGTTATTTAAAGGTCTCCTGACTGTGGGGCTACTGAAACTGTGGATAGACTGGGGTGACCTTCTCTTTCTGACCATGGAATCCTGTTGGGTTTTATCTGTGCCCAACAGGCTGGTAGTTAGGATCTTCTCCCATGCAATGACAGTTTACAGATGCTAAAGAATAGCTGTATTAGGTAACCAAGCCAAAGAAGTACCTACACAGAACCAACCAGGGAAGGTTTTAAATAACAAAGATGCCATGGCCACAGTTCCTGCAGTTAGTCAGTATTTCTTCTCTTTCCTGGAATGATACTTCCTCTGCAGGAAGTCATGGATAGCAGTAGTGAGGCCCCATGTCACGCTGGACCTTAGGATGACCAGGGAGCCTCCACGGTAGATTAGGAGCACCTTTCGGCCCCGAGTGTCCCACATGTCCTGGGCAGAGGCCCACAGGCTTGGCATGCTCTGCCAGCCAATATGGGACTGCATGTTGGCAACCAGCACAATCAGAGGATACAGAACTAGGCAGGTGATTGTTCCATTGACACTACCAGAAACCAAGGCAGGAACCCAATGGGGCAGACCTTGCTTTGCCAAGCCAGCTTGGATGGGATCCTTGAAAGAGAAATATAGAGCACTCCCCAGGCTGTTCCTGACAAGGATAGGCCAGAAACCACGATAGTAGCCCAGCGAGAGCCGCCCCCAAAGCCCATAAGAGTTGAATTCCTTGAGAATGCTGAAGGTGCTGGGGAAGCGAGCTTGCTTGCGACCATCCTGGAGCACATTCTGCACCCTTTCAAAGGGGCTCAGTGCCACAGCCTCCACCACACCAGACATGAGCCCTGCAGCCCAGCGATGTCCCAGGGAGTGTGGCCCAACAGGGGAGAGAGAGCAGAGCAGGCTATCATAAGTTCCAAACAGTAGAGTCCCTTGCAATGTCTTGGAGAGAAGAGGGGGGTAGATTCCCCGGTAGAAGTATTGAGGACCTTCATGCCAAAGCTGTTTCACAGCCTGTGACACTGCCACAGCATGGATCTGTTGGCGGAACACAACCTTATAGATAGGAAAGGTCAGAAAAGTAGACATAAAGTTGGAAATGGCACCAAGGGTGTAGGCCTGTGAGTGCCAGCTTTTCTTTCCTGGAGCCTCTGCTTGTGTCCTGTGCTGAAGCTCTTCCCCAGGAGAGTGGTTCTTCTCCCCCATGCTGAAGACAACTGCGTGCAGATGGAAGAAACTGGCAAGAGTGGGGGAAAAAAGAGATTAGACTGAGTATTTATATCTGTTGGAGAACATCTTCACTGCTTAGTTAGAAAGGGAGCCCCAAGAAACTCAGGTCTAAGGAAACAAGCAACTTTTTGGGCCAGTTTCTGAGTAACAGGCACACCCTTAAGAAATTAGGAATTCATCAACCTTAAATTAAAACAAAGGCAGCACAACCAGGCAAGCAACAGAGCCAGCTGCCTGGAGGTCCTCAGACAGAGGCCATGGGCCTCAAGCCCCACCCCTGCCCACAACCAGGCAAGCAATGGAGCCAGCTTCCCACTGTCCTGAGACATGAGCCAAGGGCCAACCCAGTTTCCCCCTCCACCCCCACACCACAAAAACATCATATAATGCACTCATTAGCCACCTGTGTTTCTTTGGGGTGTGTGACTTATCTGCTCACGTCCTTCACCAAATTTCTGCTTAGTTAGATTTTTCTAATTCATCTTTTTTTTTTTTTTGTCTTTTTTCGTGTCCGGCAACGGATCGCAACCCTCAGTGTCGCGCCCGTACCGGACCGGGACCAGCACGGGATCGCA